CAGGGAGTGCCCAGGCAGGGGAATTCAGGGCAGGCTGGAGAGGATTTTCCAGGGAATCAGACCCTGAGGCACACACGGGCATTTCCACAGATTCCTGTGCACTGTCCCAAGGATGGACAGAGCTTCTCCCCTTCCTCCCTGGGAAGCCAATCAAGTTTCAGGGTGGGAATGAGAAAAATGGGAAGAGTTCCTAAATATGGCCCAAGAAATGCTTCCTTCAGGGCTGGGTTGCTGCCCAGCAGGCAGGGAACAATCCCATGGAGCTGCTGGACACTCAGGGAGATTCCACACTCTGTGTTATCCACAAGCAAACACTGCTGTGCAATGCACCAAGGGGCTGCAAAAGGGAATCAGAAAGTCTCATTTCTTTGTGATTTGCTTGTGGTTTTATTCTGGGTGATTTGTTGGGAGAGCAATGGATTCTATAAACCAGAGCAATTTATACCTTGTCAGTTTGATTTTTGACGAGTTTGTTCTTTATTGGGAAAATAATGGTGTGGGAAAGATTTTTTTCCTTTTATTCTATGGATGTATAATTTTGTCTCAGCCAACTGGGTTGGTGTTGCCTGGGATGGCTGAGCCAGGATTTGGGGGGATCTGACCCGGTGGTGTGTGGGGCAGGGACACAGAGCCTGCCAGGACAGCCCTGGGGTGTCCTGGGCTCTGGGTCACCCCAAAATCTTAGGCCCCCCGTGAAGGAGCTGTGACCCTGTGCCCACCCAGCCACTGCCCATCCCTGGCACCCCAGCCATGGGACCCCCATTGCCTTGGTCTCCCCTCCCTGGGGACCCCCATCCCAGGACTGCCATTGCCCAGGACCACCATTGCCTTGATCCCATCCCATGGCCTGCTTCTTCCCCCAGAACCCCCATTCCCGAGGGTCCCCATTTTTCCCCATGCACCCCAACCCTGGCACCCACATGCCATGACCCCAAATCCCTGGGGACCATGTTCCCACAGCACTCCCATCCCTGAATGCCCCCCGGAATGGAGACCCAATTCCCCTGCACCCCCAATCTCCTGGACACCCACCCTTGGTTCCCCACATCCCCCTGAGCCCCCCACTCATGGCAACACCATCCCCCACCATGTCCCCAGACTATGCCATCATGTCCCCATCCTGTCCCCAGCTTGTGGGCACCCTGCCCCCACCAAGGGCCACCAACACGTTGGGACAGACCTGTCCTCACTTCCTTCCCCTTCATTCGAAGAGCCGCCAGCCAGGGGAGCGGTGGCCACAGCAGCGAGTGACAGCCAGAGCTCATGGCTGGGGACACCGGGATGGCCGGGAAGGGGGCACTGCTCCTGTGGGGTGAGTGCCCCGGGCACGGGGCTGACAGCCCGGGGATGGGGAGGGGGCACAGGGGGGCTGCGGGGTGCCCTGAGGTCCCCAAGGCCATCAGGGCATGGAGCCCAGTGTGACCAGAGTTGTGGGGTGGCTTTGGGGACAGGAACTGGGGACAGGGAGGGGAACTGGGATGTGGGGACAGGGACAGGGGGATGGAGATGTGGGGACAAGGATGTGAGAGAAGGAGCCTTGGGGCTGGGGCAGCTGTGGGGACAGGGACACAGGGATGCAGGACAGGGACAAGGGGACAAGCACCCTGTGCTTGGGCCATGGGGACAGGTGCCAGAGGAGTGGGACCACGGGCACAAGGTCATGGGGCTGTGGCTGTGGGGCTGGCAGGGGTGACCTGAGCCAGCACAGAGACCTTTGGGGACAGCTGCCACACCCCGTGTCCCCATGCTGCTGTCCCCACAGTGCCACCCCCACTGAGCCCTGTCCCTTCTCCCTTCCAGCCCAGACCCTCGGCCTCGCTGGTGAGTCCCCGTGGGATGCCATGTCCCCACCCCGCTGTCCCCAGCCCCGCGCTGGCCCTGGCAGGCTGGTGTCCCCCGGCAGGCTGGTGTCCCCTGGCAGGCTGGTGTCCCCAGCCAGGCTGATGTCCCCTGTCACCCGCAGGTGCCCAGACCACCCAGCTCCTCGTGGAGCCCCCCTGGAGGCCGGCGGTGCTGTGGGACCAGGTGACACTGACCTGCCAGGGCTCGGGGACCGCCGGTGCCACCACCTGGTACAAGGACTGGCGGAGCTGGTGGCCGGAGGGACCCGACAGCCTCACTGTCACCGAGAAAGGCATCTACACGTGTGACAGAGCCGACACCGGGCACAGCCCCTCCATGAATGTCTCAAACGGTGAGGGGGGTTTGGGTGTCCCCAGGCTGGCACCCGCGGGGACCCCGAGGGCTCTGGGTGGGCTCTGCTCCATGGGTCACCTCCTGTGTGACCAGATCTGTCCCCTGCTCTCATCCCAGAGCGAGGAGATTTCCCCCTCCCAGTGGGTGGCTCCTGGTGCCTCCCGGTGCCATCACCACCCTGCTGATGTCCCTGGTGTGACATGTCCCCTCTGTCCCCCAGACCCGCTGGTGCTGCAGGTGCCAGCGCGGGCCCTGCTGGAGGGGGACACGGTGACACTGCGCTGCCGGGGCTGGCAGGACAAACGGCTCACAAGTGTGTACTTCTACCGTGAGGAGAAGCATCTGAGTGCGCCCCAGGCTGGGACCGAGCTGTCCCTGTCCCCCCTGCAGCTGAGCCACAGCGGCCGCTACCGCTGCGGGGGCTATGTGGAGTCAAAGTGGAAGAAGTCAGAGCTGGTGACAGTGACAGTGCGCAGTGAGTGCAGGGATGGGCACAGGGAAGCCTGACATCCTCTGAGGGTTTCCCCGGCACTGCCTGAATCCTTCATCCCTCCCTTTCCTCCTCCCTGGGTCACCCAAAATTTCCCAAGTCCCTCTTGGTTTCCCCCATGAGCGCCCAGTTCCCCCTGCACAACCCTCATCCCTCTTTTTGTCCTCCCCAGCCCTCCCTGGATTCCCCACCCCTTCCAAGGTCCCTGCTCCACCCTCTGCTCTCCCTCCTTCCCTGGGACCACCCGCCCATCTCTAAACCCCAAGTCATTCCCTGAGTCTCCCCAGTCTCTCCTGTGGTTTCCCCATCCCTTCCTGGGTCTCTCCTCCTTTCCTCGGGGTCTCGCCATTGTCCCCAGATCCCAACATGCCTCCCAGGGTCCCTTCTGCTCACTGGGATCCTCTGCTCCCCTCCAATCCCCCCTCTTTCCCCTCCCGTGTCCCCCACCGCTCCTGGGTCCCCAATCCCACCTCTGTTCCCCACTCCTGTAGGTGTCCCACCCTCGGGGGTGTCCCTGTCAGCGCAGCCCCCCGGGGGACAGCTGGCACTCGGGGACCGCCTGGTGCTGAGCGTTCTGGGGGCTCAGAGTGTGGGGGGCACCGGTGGAGTTGGGGGCCCTGCGGTGGTGCAGAAGTTTTGGGGGGTTCAGGAATGCCTGGAGAGTCTTGGGGGAATCAGGGGCCTGGTGGGTATCGGGGCTGCAGTGGGGATTTGGGGGTCCTGTGGGTGCTTGGAGCTGCTGAGGTCCCAGGAGGGTTCAGGGGTCCCGGGGTACCCTCAGTCACCCCCTCCCCTTTTCATTGCAGCTGCCAGGGAGTCCCAGGACAGGTGAGTGGGGGTCTCGCGCTGGGACTCCCCTTTCCCCCTCCCCAGACACCCTCCAAACCCCCCCTTTTATCCCCACAGGACCCCCCTGAGGAGGGGGCTCTGCTGGACCCCCACCAAGGGGGCAGGGGGTGCAGGGGGACACGTCACCCACAGGTGTCACCTCCCACCCAGGTCCCCACCACCGGTGTCACTCTCAGGGCCCCCATGGGTGTCCCCCAGCCCTGCCCCACCTCAAGATCCACAAGTGACCAACGCGGAGCTGTCGGGACCCCCCGAGGGACAGCGGGACCCCCGTGACTACGAGAATGTGCTGTGACACTGGGGGCACTGGGGGCACTGGGGGCACTGGTGGCACTGGGGGTCCCTGCCCCAGGACACCCCCTGTGTTTCTCCCCACCCCAGCTCCCCTGGGTGCCCACCGTGCCTGGGTTTGGGGGTTCCAAACTCCAGAGCTCCCCGTTCCAGCGCTCCCAGTGCCCCCAGGGTCTCCCCATTCCCTCCCCCAGTGCCAGGGGGCACAGGACCCTTGTCCCTCTTGTTGGACCCAAAACGCAGCTTTTTGATTAAACTGGGAGAAACGGATTTTGTTTGTTCAGCTCGGGATTGAGGAGGGTCCCGGTCAGCTTGTTGAGCAGATCGTTCTGGGATTTGCAGGATTTTTGGGGCTCCCTCCGTCCCTTGACAGTCGCCACAGTGCACCGCCGCAAACAGCGCTCCCTGCCTGTTCCCAGGGAAACAACACCCCGTGTTTCCATGGCAACACACACCCTGTTCTCATAGCAACTGCATCATATCTGTGTGGCAACAGCCGCCAGGCAACAGCCCCCTGTCCTCACACCCCCAGTCGCCCAATCCCATGGCAACAACACCCTTCCGTTCCCATGGCAGCAACACCTTTCTGTTCCCATGGCAGCAACACCCTTCTGTTCCCATGGCAGCAACACCTTCCTGTTCCCATGGCAACAACACCCTTCCGTTCCCATGGCAGCAACACTCTTCTGTTCCCATGGCAGCAACACTTTTCTGTTCCCATGACAGCAACACCCTTCTGTTCCCATGACAGCAACACCTTTCTGTTCCCATGGCAACAACACCCTCCTGTTCCCATGGCAACAACACCCTCCTGTTCCCATGGCAACAACACCCTTCTGTTCCCATGGCAGCAACACCCTTCTGTTCCCATGGCAACAACACCCTTCCGTTCCCATGGCAACAACACCCTCCTGTTCCCATGGCAGCAACACCCTTCTGTTCCCATGGCAACAACACCTTCCTGTTCCCATGACAGCAACACCCTTCTGTTCCCATAACAGCAACACCCTTCTGTTCCCATGGCAACAGCCCCCCCCGTTCCACGCCCACATCCCCTCGTTACCATGGCAACACCCCCTCCCATTCCCACGCCTACACCCCCATTGCCATGGCAACAGCCCCCCAAGCCCATGGCACCTGTAGCCCCCGCTCCCATACCCATCTCTCCCGGTTGCCATGGTAACAGCCCCTCAGTTTCCATGGCAACACCCCCTGCTTTCCCATGACAACAGCCCCGTTCCCATGGCAACACCCCGGTTCCCACGCCCAGAGCGCATGCGCCGCACTCTCCCCGCCTCTCCGTCTCTCTGACTGCATTTCCCATCACCCCCCGCGGCCCGCGGCGCGCTAACGGTTCTCGGCAGCTCCGCGGACTCCATTTCCCATCGCACCCCGCGGCGCGGACGGGAGGGGCTGAGTCTCTACGGCGGCCGGCGCGGGCCCGGTCTCGTGACGCGCGCTGTGCGCGGACGCCAAGATGGCGGACGAGGAGGGCGAAGCGCGGCCGGGGGCGCGGAACGGGGCCGGGGAGGGACCCCCGGGCGGGCCCCGCGTCGTCCGCATCGTCAAGTCCGAGTCGGGTTACGGCTTCAACGTCCGCGGGCAAGTCAGCGAAGGCGGGCAGCTGCGCAGCATCAACGGCGAGCTGTACGCGCCGCTGCAGCACGTCAGCGCCGTGCTGGGCGGAGGGGCCGCCGACCGCGCCGGGGTGCGCAAGGGGGACCGCATCCTGGAGGTGTGAGTACGGGGGGGCCGCCCACCCACAGCCCCCCGGCAGCCGGCCCCGGGAATGCGCCCCACACACACGGGCAGTGCCGGGGGAGGGGGAATGGGGGTCCTGAGGGGGCTCTGGGGGCCGTGAGGGAGCTCTGAGGGGGCTGGGGGCGATGAGTGGGCTCTGAGGGCTGTGAGGGAGCTCTG